TAAGGGCATTACTACTAGTAGCTAGCAGCTACACTAGTAACAAGGGCGTTGCTACTAGTAAAAAGAAGCTACTAGTAGCTAAGGCTAAGGGCATTACTACTAGTAGCTAGAATCTACTAGTAACAAGGGCATCGCTACTAGTAACACGGGAATCGCTACTAGTAGCTAGAAGCTACTCGTAAAAGGGTAGCATAGACACTTTCACGGTGAATGGCCACCACTCTTTCGGAGGTGAAACCCACCTGTCAGCCCCTCGTCCTCCTTCTTCTCCTTCTCCTCCTCGTCCTCCTCCGCCGGACCTCAACCACGACCATCCGCGCCCAGCGTTCCCTGCCGGACCTCGACCACAGCACACAACCACAAACACACAACCACAAACACACAACCCCAAACACAACAACCACAAACACACACAACCACAGACACAACAACCACAAACTCATAACCACAATCACACAACTACAAACACACAACCACAAACACAACCACAAACACAGCAACAAACACACAACCGCAAGCACACAACCACAAATACAACCACAAACACACAACCACAAACACAACCACTAACACACAACCACTAACACACAACAACTAACACACAACCACAAACACAACCACAAACACACAACCACAAACACAACCACTAACACACAACCACTAACACAACAACTAACACAACCACAAACACAACCACAAAAACAATCACAAACACAACCACTAACACAAACACAACCACTAACACACAACCACAAACACAACCACAAACACACAACCACAAACACATAACCACAAACACAACCACAAACACAATCACAAACACACAGCCACAAACACACAATCACAAACACAACCACAACACACAACCACAGCACACAACTCGAGCACCCACAAGCAAAATCGAGAACGACAATACTCACGACCATGGCAACATGCTCCTCACTATGGCATCAAGACAAATGATTGAAATGTCATAGGCGGGATCACTCGAAGTAAAGTATTTTGTAGGGAAATTTAACAGCTTCTTGCCGTCAACGAATCAACGGCAAAGCGCACGCAAAGCGCACCATGTCACGAGCAGGAACCTACCAGCCCTGGCCTCAAGTGTGCAAGGTGCTGCGATGTATCATGCGATATGAAGTTGAGCAGACCACAGTAGAACTCTCACATGGCCTGTTTTTCCGTGTTGTTTTGGAAGTTTATGTACACAATTGGCATTCTAGAGATCAGCGACATAGCGCCAGCACCCGCCCTCTCCACGTGTGATGCAGCTGATCGGAGTGAGTTTGTGTGGATCTGAGGAAACACCACATGGACCTTGAGCTGGGACAAGTTTCAGGGATCGTGGAACTTGCTGGGAGGCAAGCATCTCTACGTTCCTGAGCTGCAAGTCGGACCGATGGATGTTATATAAACATATGAGCCACGGTCAAAACATGCGAAGACCACTTTAGTAAAGAGGGGTAGGTTTGTGCACAAAACCCTGCAAAACGATAAGGTCCACCTCAAAACCGATAACCCCAGCGCTGTATATGGTCATAAGTATGCGACGAACTCAAAACGCTGTAAAACGATAAGGTCCACCTCAAAACCGATGACGTCCATTTTTTAGCTGAAGCAGAATAAGTAGTTTTGACCGTCCCTCATATGACCTGCGGTGGCGCTAGTCAGCTGTGTCTGAGGATGGGAGGTGCTTTCAAAATTATTGTAATTTGTACAAGACCGTTTCAGCCAAGTGTGTGATTTCGAGTTTTCCTTGGAAAACAGCCTGGGACTTCAAAAAAGCGGTACCCCTGTTGTTGCATGCATTATGTTTTTTGGAGTTTATTTTGTGCGCATGTGTGGGCAGGCAATCTCCATCATGTGGCTAATGTGAGAAAGTGTGATTGGGTTTTGTTGTTGTTTTGCTTTGTTTTTGTGTGTTTGCCTGTTTGTTTTGTTTGGCATTGCGCTCGCTTGCGTGTGGTTTGGTCTCGCAGGTGTCACGGGCAGTCAGCAGGGATTGGCTCATGGGCTGGCCCCAGCCTGCAAAGAAGGCTTTGCTCCACCAATGAAAAAGGTATTCGCCTTTGTTTGCTCGGGTGAAATGGAAAAGGCTTGTGTGGAGCGTTTAAACAGCATGTGTGCACGCAAGCAGATTGATGGAAAATTACTTCACTCCCAGCGAGCACCATGGTATTTCCAATATTTGCTTTAATGGCATGGCAGAGATTGTCCAGAATAATTCAAGCATGAAACAATTAAGCGTGGATCACACAAGCCAGTTCAAAGACTACTGCGTTTTTTTTCTGAAGAATATATCGTCGTCATGTGAGACGCATCCAAAGCTACTCGTACCTCTCCAGCTGTGTTCATCCCACCTGTCATCAGTTGCCAACTCAAACATGTCTAGTTGAGATTCAAGAGGCAGAAAAATGCCATTGCCCCACCTGTCAGGGCTTATGTTTGGACCGCGCATGAACAGCCGACCACCTGAATGAGATACCGAGATCTGCCAACATATCCGGTTGAAGCAAGTCTTGCACAAAGTGCGCTATAACAGAGGATGTAGGCATCACCCATCAACATCCCCTGAACGGCCCTGCTGAAAAGCAGTTGGGCCCGACAAGATGTTTGAGTCTAGGTCATCAACATCTTCTGAACTGCCCTGCTGCGAAACGGTCGGGTCCGCAACTCCGATTGGCATAACTTCCAGGACAGGTCAGTTCTTCAAAAATCAGCATCGATTCCGGCCACACACCACTGGACCCAAGTCTCCCAACAAGACGCGGATTCTGCGTGGCACAGTTCTTCAGCGCGCAGCTACGGAGGCTAACAAACGCAGCTGCCAGGCTTGGTGTGAAAGAAGGCCATACCCAAGACACCATTAGCGCCGCCTCCGCAGCCAGCGGATCTTGTATGACTAAAACCAGGCGCGAGACTTTCTATATGCTTCTATATATATATATATATGTTCTTCTGGTTCTTTGTCCAACACACAAAACGCTTCTTGGATTGTGCATCAACATTGCTCCACTCGCTGCGCGAGCTTCGCATCTTCATCGAATCTCCGTGCAACACAGATCATCCTATCGCGACACCAATCCTACAGCGGTAACGTCATCCTGCATGCTATAGGCTATAGCTGTCTCGGATAAGCTTTCACAGCGAGTACAAAGAAGATACTCTAGGAAGGGCCTGTGCACCTGTGACCAGCGTAGATAAAGCTATTGGGAACAGTTACAAGGAAATAAGGATGACCCTAGAAAAAAAAGCTGCGGACATCCGCAGAATGCTGCTGCATGTCTGGAGCAGGGGCAAATGTCACATCATCCAACACTTGCATATGACGATCAAGCCATGTTTTCCAGCACACCAACCAGTTCAGACAAATGTTCAGTTCTCTGGCCCGGCAAGAAGAGGAGAAGAGGAGAGGGGGAGGTCAGCTCTGATAAAATCTAACAACCCTCACCTGGCAGTTGGGGAACCATGGACAAAAAGTCAGATACATAGAACGACGCTGCAGAAGCCATCAATGTTGCGTTTTCTGTAGGAACTGCCTGCAAGCAGTGTTGTTGTCCTGCCTGACTTGAAAAATCCCGTCACACTTCCGGCCCGTCACGTCATGAAGGATCAAGAATGGGGGTTCCTGTGTCTCTTGTTTGCTTGTGTGCTTGCATGTTGTTTGTTTTGCTCAGTGGTTTGATGCTGGGGTTCATTGGTGGCAAGACTCGACACTGCAAAGAATGTAAAATATGTAGAGCAATACCTGCAGTGCTCATTCTGCCAAACACAGTGCAACGAAGGGGGGGCAGGGGCACGTGTTTTGCTCGGTTTCTTGAACACAACTGTGGCAAAGCGAGCCCAGGCATCAATTCACAGTGAGGCCGTGATACCGGTGGACTTGAACGGAAGCGCAGACGCCTTCTCGGCGACATTTATTCGCCCAATGATGGCCAGTTTTTTGACAAGCCCGAAGGTGAACAGCCCTTTCCCGCAGCAGAAACCAACCTACCCAAAGCTTTTGGAGTTCCATTCAAGTCAACCAGATTACAAGGAATATTGCGACCCTACGATTTTGCAAAACCCTGGTGAGTTTCAAGTTTCGGTGGATGAGACGAATCCATGTTTTCACACATTCAATGCCGAAATCGTCAGAGGGTTGCCTGAAATGAAAGGAATCACAGAGCAGGCCTTTTGGTCTTGTGCAGAGCGGGACTCTTTGCGTCAGTACATGGAAGGGATGTCCACAGCCGGGATCCAGAAGAGCCAATACAAAGTGCAGAAAGTGGAGGATGAGATGCAAGCGGTGTCATTGGCCTTGCAGCTTGTGGCAGGTGTTGCTGGCATGATTCCTTGGGGCAGCTATGCAGCCCCTGGGGAGAAGGGTGCAGAGAAGACTGAACAGTTTGTTGCCAAGGAAGAAAAAGACATTGCTGAAAAGACGGCCAAGACTGAAGTGAAAAAAGAAGTTGAAAATGAAGTAAAAGTTGGAATGACAAAGCAGATGCACGAGGAAATGGAGGCGCAATTGAAACAAAGTATGAGGGCTGCCATGATCAAAAAGGATTTGCAAGCTGCGAAAGCAGCACAAGCAGCAGCCCAGCGGCAAAAACGATCCAGTGGTATGATGGCCATGATCGGTGGCGCTTACCAGAAATATGGCAACAATTTCAATTCCTTTGTGAGCACCTTCAGTACCTCAGTCTCAACGGCGGACTTAATTTTCAAAATGCACCCGAGGCCTTCCACCTCAGCCGGTGCCAAAAACATGTCTGAGAAGCTGATGAAGCTAACCCTTCCCACCTTGGACGGCCCAACTTACAAAGACACCTCTGCAATGGCGAAAACCACTTGGAATGATTGTATGCCGTTGCAGTTCGGTTTGTCCAAGGTGATGTGCGACTTGTTTTGCATTGAGGATTCTGTTCGCGAAGGCACCTCGGCGGTCTTAAGTAGCCTGGAAAATTCGCAAGACGTCCTGATGAAGAACTTGCAAGCGCTTCTGAATTATCAAACGCAGTACATCCTTTGGGCCATCGGGACTCTTGGAGCCATCAAGAGCACTGTATTTTCGTTGGCGTTCGTTGGCACTTGTAGTGTCAATCATTTTAGATTGCTTTCAAATCTTTTGGCAAGCAGTTGTGGCAAACTTAGAACTTGAGAGCTTGCTGATTGCTTTATCAGCATAGGACTCTGGTCAATCCGGCTACTGGGTCCAGCTCTGAGCCCTCAGAGATACCTTCTGCCAGCGCTTTGCTCGAGGAGCTGCGCCGCATCGACTTTGAAGATGTGCGCGTCACCGTGCCAAGGGTATCCCGAGACTAGCCGTTGACTAGACTATTTAGGCTGTTTTTCGTGCGGTACCGGCAGTAGAACAGTAATGACTAGATACTTTTTTGTTTTTTGGACAACTTGGAAACCCTGCAAGCCCTGTTTGTACTGTAACCGTTCAATTCCTTGCTCTCAGGGGATGTCTTACACTGGCATAGAGATGCTGCGCCGGAGCTCTATGGACGTGTCGCGTCTTTGTCCGTGAATGCCACGGCCCAGAATTGGCCCTACCGTGTGCGATCTTTGCGGAGCATGCTGCAGCACTTTCAAGCAGAATTTCGTGAACGTCTCTACAGGAGCAAACATAGGAAAGGTCAACAGGTTGACAACAGGATGCAACAACCAGTTTTCCGAACAGATTGGGCCCCAGGGTTGTTGCGACTCTGGCATTCCTTTGGCTTGACAGGAGTGCACAAGGACAGCCATCGGTGGACAAGATCCAGCGGCTTCGCTTGGATGCAGCCATGCACCGAAAACATACAGAAAAAGCGCAATTGTTACAACTGCAGATGGGCGAATCCCGAATTTGGACTTCCCTCTTGGCCTCTTTCTTGCATTGCCACGAGAAGCACGCCACTTTCACAATGATGCAGCTAAAAGCATTGGATCAACACGATGCAGCTCCTCTCCTTCATCTCGATTCGACGTTGAACATCTCAATTGGGTCTTATATTGCCTATTGTCGCATCATCTCATGAATCATGTGTTTGTTAGTGTAACCTTGGTCATTCCCTTGGCATCAGTGACTTCCAGTGGAAGACAATGTATTTCCAATGCATTCTGAATCTCTGAAGGCAGATTGGAGGCCATTGGAGGCCATCTAGGTTGGAGGCCATCGCTACTAGGTTGGAGGCGAGGCCATTGCTATTAGGTTGGAAGTATATAATCATGTTGAAACTCTAACAAGTGCATTCTTTTCATCTCTGAAGGCTTTGAACTTGGCCCAGAACTTTTCGCTTTGCAAAGCGGACACGGCCTCCTTGCGAGACACCTGGCAGCGCGCCATGCGCGCAGAAGAGCGCAGCCGTGAAGCTCTCCTTGAGGCTTGGTCAGCCACGGCGGCCACTGCCGAGCGCTTGGCAATAGCCTTTGAGGAGAGAAACCAAACCAAAATGGGCTTCACATGGCTTCACTAGCTTAAAGCAACTTCAACTCAGTTTTCTCACAGTGTCATTTTTCATGCTTCAGTTTGCTTCGACTTCACCATCCTGCTTGCGAAGTGTCGAGGACGAAGACTTTGTGCTGAACCTGGCTGACTTCACCAACCATGGGAGCCACTTTACTCGCTTTGCCAGCTTCCCTCGTGAGTCTTGTCACAGCATGCCCAAGTTGGCGCAAGAACTCTTTAACGAAGCAGTGTTCCAGGTAGACCGGGTGATGAAGCCTTTGGCAAAGCAGCTTGTGGTCTTCAATGCTTTGGCCAAGTACCAACAGCAACAGCTCCTGCATAGACGCATGGAGCACGTTCCTTTGCCGACGTTCTCTTTGCCCAAAGGTGCGCTCGCTGCCATGGCTGATCCGGAGGCCCAAGGTCGCCAGTTGGCACTTCAAGCGTTGCAAGCCTTAGGCCGAGAGCTTTGCCCTTCACCGCCGAGTTGTCCACAGGGAATGCTTCTGCCTGAAGATGCAGACGCACAATTAAATGGGATGGATGAGGTCGACGTTTGCAATCGAGGCGGGCGCTCACGCTTCATTGGGGTCATGACATCCAGCTTAGCAGAGGTTTTGATGCGGAACGTCACATTGGAATCGGTAGAGATGCACAGTTTGTTGTTGCTCAAAGTAGCAGACCTTTAATATTGTAATCAATTTTGATGATGATGATGATGATATATAATGTGCCTTTTGGAATAAATAGAGGCATAAGTCCTCTATTTATCCTCTATTTATTGTATTGGATCTGTTAAAATATTAATAAAAATTTTAGAAGAATTAACACATATTATAATAACTATTACATTTTTGTATAAATCTATTCATATATGAATATATAAATTACAACCAAAATTATTTATAAGAATGAGGATTTATCGCATGATTATAATTAATGCATTTTATGGTAAAGCGGAACGATTTTGGAATATAATAATTATAGATTTATTAAGCCGGTTAGTTTTAATTCTAATTTGGCTAAAATTATATATTTATTTTGGATGATTTTTAATCGATTAATTATTTAATTTTGGAATTATTTTTATACTATTCGACGAAGGATTTTAATAAATTGTTTAGAAATAAATTTGTATAATTATATTTTTTGTTTTTTATGTTTTCGTTAATTTCGCGAGAAGGATACAAAATATATTTAGATGTATTCGGTAGGAAGATTTTTATTATAATTTAATATAATTAGCTTAAAGCGGTTATTAAAAAGAGAAATAAATATAAAAAATATATAAATTAATTTATTTTAATTAAATAAATTATAAATTAAAGCTATATATATTATAAATATAATATTTATATAAATATTAGATTTATTAAATTATAATTAGAAATAATATATATTTATAATATAATAAAATAAATAAAATTATTTAAATATTTCTAGGTTAAATAAACTATAAATTATTTTTATATTTAATAGATATATTTAATATAAATATTAAAAATAAATCGATTTTTATATTTTTTTATGTTTTTTTTTTATATTAATTAATAGTAATATAACACGTAAAATAATAATAAAAATAATAATAACAAGAAGAAAAAAAAACTAATTTCAAATCGAATAATTATATTTATATTATGTAATATAATAATATTTTTTAATGTTCGCCAAAAAATTATTTTCGCGAATTCGAACAAAAAAAATCACAAATAACTTAAAAAAACCTCTTAATATTATAAGCTTAATATCGACCTTTCGATCGTCTATTACATCCATTTATTAATATTTAAATTATAATTATTATTTTTTGTATTTAAAATATATAAAAATATATATTTAAATCAATTAATTAATATATATTATATATATATATATATCATTCAAATCCATCATAAATAAAAATATTTTATTATATTATTAATATATATAAACATAAAATACATAAATATATATCTATCAATATATATTTAAATTAATTAAATCAATCATTTTCCTTAGAATATATATTTTTAAAATATATATATGGATAAATATAATATATTATATATATAAATTGAAAAAAAAAAAAATTATTTATTTATATCGATAGTGTAGATTCTTGGCTTTCGTTGAGAATTCGTCAGGCCCCATGTATCGTGGCCCATTGCAGCGGGGGCATTTGAAACCAACTGGCCGGGTCGCTGCTCGGTCTGAGCGTTTATGAAAGCGACACAAGGAGTCACCATGTTCTGGCCATGTTTTTAGGGGTCGTTGCTTGAACACATGACCAAAGACGAGGTCATCACCTGAGATGAAGTAGCTGTTGGACGGTGTGAAGGATTTCAAGGACCAATTCTTTTGGTTTCTGCTCCTCTATGCTTCGGTGTCCCCCACCTCTTGGCTCCTCCCCCACGCGAGCAATGTGTAAAGGACGCAGCTCCAATCGAAGCGGTGCCTGCATGAGTCTATTTGGAAGGAATCGCGTCAGCAGTTTGGCTGCAATGGACGAAACGCTATTAGGTTTGAGGCCATCGCTCCAAATCTGATGTCTTACCATGGGATATCATGGGATACTGGAGTGGCTGATGTTTGAACTCTCGAAGCTTCTCGCGTTCTTGGAAGATCTTGCAAGAAAGGCTCATCTCAAAGAAACACCAACCTGCAATCTTGTAGGGTGCAAAAAAGGACATAACCAAACAACTAGATTGGCTTACACGCAGAAGCTGTTGGAAGCACTTCCCATAAAGCTCTGCACGTCACGACAAGACAAGCAATCTTGAGAGGGAAGTTCGCAGGAAAGCGTCATACAGGCAAATCAAATGAAGCCATAAGCCCACAGTGGCGCTCTTCAAAACGCTCGCAGGAAGTTTCAGTGGCATCGAACACTTCAAGAGAGAAAGAAGTCAAGAAGGAAGCAAGGACAAGGAACAAAACACATAGAGAGAGGGCCTTTCGGAAGCTGCTAATGCACTGTGTTGCAATCAACACAATCAATTCTGTTCACCACAGAAATGCACCAAATTGTGAAATTCTGCACACAAGAAATGTCTCAGACTCCTGAATGAGTTGATCCAAACAATGAAGCTGGCAAACAATGCTCAAGGCCATGTCGCGACCCCAACCACGAGTGGCCAACGCTTGCAACAGCTTTACCCTTAGACCGTCTATTTGCAAACATGAGTCTTGACATGTTTGTGGAACAAACATTTCAAGTCTGTTGGCACCGGCTCCTAAGGGCTGCGGTGTCTTTTGAATCACATCCGGACCCTTTTGTGAACTGTGAACAGTCTTTGTTCTTCCACGTACTTCTCGCCTGAGACAAATACTTCCGCAGCTTCGACCACAGAAAATCCTGGTCGTGACATTCAACTGTTAGAAAAAAACAATCCAAGCAATTGGTGTGATTCGTGTCGGAAAGCACACTAGGTTGCTTGTTGATAAAACCCTGGCAGTAGCTTTTGATGAAAAATAAAAGGACCTCTTCTTTCTTCAGCTTTCACTTCTTCCACTTCTCTGCCGGTCCTCACTGCTCTCGTCCAAGAGTGAGAAGTTGAAGTAATGATGACCTGGAAGTGTGACGACACAGCTTCTACTAGTAGGTTGGAGGCCATCGCTATTAGGCTGGAGACCTGAAGTGTGACGACACATGACAAGAATTCTCTTTGCACCACCTGGGCTTGAGCTCAGAATCTCATCCTAAGGTCCTAAGGTGTAATCAGGAATGTGTAGGAGGTCAGATTGAAAAGCGTTTCACTCGGGGCTGTTGACTGGACGTGTGACTAGTATATGATCCTCCGGGCTCCCGCCGGGCTGGGCTCCCGGCCACTGATCCTTCTCTTCTTCCGATTTCTGTCACTGTCCGCCCAGCGGTCCTCCACTTCGAGGAGCTCAGCGGTGTGCAGCACTCCACGCTTTGCCTGCGTCTCCTGAGGTTGGCACGGCTGGAGGGTCCACAAGCGACAGCAGTGGATGAAGGACTTGAAACTTCATCTTGAGCTCAAGGTCTGTATGTGTGGGAAACGGTTCCCTCAAATGGCCTTGCAAGACTTGATGATTGCTTTTACCTTGGCTTTGAGAGCGACCCAAGAACGCAGCACATTAGTGGTGGCAAACTAGTGGTCTCTGGTCGGTCAAAAGGTCTTTTTACATCTTTTTACAAATCACATTGACGGACATAATTTCCGGAATCCGCTATGGTAGCGAAGAGGTACGTGCAACCAAACGTCGTTACTGCCTCGCAGCCTTCAAAAAATCTTTTAGAAACGTCTTCATGCTGCCCTCCAAAAAACCATGTTTGGCGTTTTTTCGTGATTTCACAGGCCTTGTTGCACCGGTCGATTGACCAGTTCTCATGCCGCCAAGATGCATCCCTAAAACTGGACATTGAATCCTTCTGAGCATGTACAGCCAGAACAATTGGGACTCGGGAGAGCTCAGAGGCAATTCCGGTTAGGAATTCCTGGCAGGATGTGATGGCTGTGAGCCCTGTTCATGGTCTTGCCGCAGGTCAAAGCAGCAATGTTTCAATCCAAGTCTCTTGTTCGTCTGCTGTATACTATTCAAATCGATTTAATGCCGTGCTGTGCCAATCTGCTTTGGCGTTTCTACCTGTTCCGACAACCCGAATGCACCGCTCCTCGAAGATTTCGCTGCTCGCTGGTTGTGGCGCGCCATACATCGCATCTCGGTTTACTTCGCCAACACAGAAACAAACGAAAACTAAGTCTAAACATGTCTATATATGGGCGTTTTTTTCCAGGAGCGTTGCAAATTTTTTTCTGTAGATTTTTTTCGTAACACAACTGCATCAATACCTTTCTGGTTTGTTCATAGCTGCGTGGGTGCGTGTGCTATAAGTTTGTTATAAGCTACCATATGTTTCATATTGGTATGTGTGCTATAGGATAGGTATGCTGTAAGCTACGTATGCAGCTTGCATGCGTGGTTTTCTACCACGACAATGGTATGTATGGTATAAGTACATCTGCAGCTTGCATGCGTGGTCTTCTAGACCTGCGCTAGGGAGGTGGTAATACATTTGCAAATACATTTGCAATTTCTACAATTGCAAGTGTATGTGTGCTACAATAAGTATGCTAGCAGTACATCTGCAGTTTGCAGGTATGGTTGTGCTAGGATCTTGCTTGGATAATTTTTGCTAGCATTGCTTTGGTGCTGGGATCTTGAATTGGTGAGTTGCTTTGGTGGTGGGGGGTCTTTCTTGAACAATTTTCGCTGTGTGCTGGAGTCCTCTGCGGAGATCGCGCGCGTGTGTGTGTGTGTGTGTGCCCCCCTCCGTTTCCAGGAGTTTCGTTTTTCACTCTTTCTCATTTGGGTGTTGATCTAAATTCCTTTATCTGGGACCCGTCATTCTTAGCCAGAAAAAACTTTAGCCAAACTTTCGCCTTCCTGTGTATTTTTGTTTCGCCAAAATATTGTTTTTATTTGTGCCATGTATGTTGTATGATGGATATCAAATTTGTTCATGTCAATGGCTTCTTCAGTACTGGCAAATACGCAAAAAACTTCACTGTTTGTCAGCATGTGTCTTCTATTTAACTGTTGACACTCTGTATGTGTTTTTTTTGTTTTCTCCTGGGTGTCAGCAAGAATCAAAAAATGCAAGAATCACTGTAGTAGCCGGTCACTCAGAATTACTCATAATGGGCTGGGGGTCAGATGTGGCAGGGTGAAGCCAATCTTGAGCTGAACTTTCGAGCAGGAGCAGCAGTAGCAGTAGGAGTAGCAGTAGCAGTAGCAGTGGCAGTGGCAGTGGCAGTAGTAGTAGTAGTAGCAGTAGTAGTAGTAGAAGCTGCAGCAGTAGTCGTCGTCGTCGTAGTGGTAGTGGTAGTGGCAGTGGCAGTGGTAGCAGTAGCAGCAGTAGGAGGAGTAGTGGTAGTGGTAGAGGTAGTGCTAGTGGCAGTGGCAGGGGTGGTAGTAGTAGTAGTAGTAGTAGTAGTAGTAGTAGTAGTAGCTGCAGCAGCAGGGGTAGTAGCAGCAGCAGCAGCAACAGTAGGAGTAGGAGTAGGAGTAGGAGCAGGAGCAGGAGCAGGAGCAGGAGGAGTAGTAGTAGTGGTAGTAGTAGTAGTAGTACTGGTAGTAGTACCAGTAGTACTAGTACTAGTAGTAGTAGTAGTAGTAGTAGTAGCAACAGTAGGCGAAAGAACATCTTTAGCCATATCTTTCGCAAAAAAACTTACTTTCGCGAACTCGAGAAAAACTTTCGCCAAATGAGGTCTTGACATGTTCCAGGGTAAACGTAATCAACGCTATGTATTAGGACCTTTAGACCGACAACCATGTGAGCAGGGGGCTAGCAGCCCATTTCTCAACACCAACCAACGAAGCTAGAGAAATGGGTGGATGAGTCTGTGAACGCACAGACTTGTACCTGCAAGGCAACTGTTCACGCTGTCCACTTTCTTGGTTCCTGCTTCCATGGTCGTTTGCATGATACCATCCCACAAACAGATTTCCCTCCGCCGTTCTGCAGCTGCTGACTTGCATGAGTTTTCGAACAAATGTTCAAACACTTCAAGCGCTGTTGCCGACTCAGGCGCCGTGCGTTTCCCTCATCCATGCCACTGTGGACTATGACAAACTGCAAACCCTGTGACTAAGTGTGTATCGCTGTGTCCTCCCACTGGGTAACAGTGTGATCCTCTTGCAAGAGAGGCGCTGAAACCATTGTAGATCACATATCGATTTGGCGTTTCCTGCGCTCATTCGATTATGATCTGGATTCCTTTTCGTTTCACCCATGAATCAACCGATTTCTCGCCGCCGGGCATACGGGCTGGACGCCGCCCCGCCAACAGATTTCAACACGGTTTATACTGCATGTCCACTTTTCATGTCTCATGTCTCCAGTGGCTACATTTGAATGTTTCACATGTTCCATCAGAGGTTTTTGCACGTACTGACTTATCAGAATTTTTGCCAGACTTTTAATTTGTAACACCTACCCACCAAGTGCGGCTGTCGCCCCGGCAGAGCACCTCATCAACCTCTACATCCGCAAAGGGCATGCAGCAATCGACTGCAGGCGTTAATTGAAGATGAAGAAGATTGCAGACTTGCCACCAGCGCCGCAAAGCGGCTGCGTGTGTGTGTGTGTGTGTGCCCCCCTCCGTTTCCAGGACTTTCGTTTTTCACTCGTTCTCATTTACGCAGGGGGCTAGCGGGCCCATTTCTCGACGCTAGCCAACGAAGCTAGAGAAATGGGTGGATGAGTCTGTGGACGCACAGACTTGTACCTGGAAAGCAACTGTTCACGCTGTCCACTTTCTTGGTTCCTGCTTCCATGGTCGTTTGCATGATACCATCCACAAACAGGTTTCCCTCCGCCGTTCTGCAGCTGCTGACTTGCATGAGTTTTCGAACAAATGTTCAAACACTTCAAGCGCTGTTGCCGACTCAGCCGCCGTGCGTTTCCCTCATCCATTTCACTGTGGACTAGTGGACTATGACCAACGGCAAACACTGTGACTAAGTGTGTGTGTGTGTGCGTCGAGCGCTGTCGAAAATGGAGATGGAGGTTGTTGCCACAAAGTGCGTAACTGTCGCCGAAAACAGAAGTTGAGGTTGCCAAAGCGTGTAACTGTCGGTAAAAAAGAATGCGGAGGTTGCTAACGTGTGTAGCTGTCTCTAGCCAACTTGTGTATCTGTCGTCACTTCGTCTGTAATGTCGCTGCGCCATGCGGCTTTGCGCGGCTGCGGTGGCAAGTGCGTTTGCGCGAGTCGGCGCCATTGGGGGAAGGAAAGCATTGGTGGTAAATTTGGCGCATCGCTGGGGAGCGGGATGATTTGCGGCGTCCACAATTATAATGTTACATTGTACGTATCTAATCTGCACATGTCTGATGAAAGGAATCTGTAGGTCTCTGCGCGTGAAACACACCACGCCATGGGACCACACAATTCTTTCTGTTGTTTTCTGCACGGCTTTACACACAAGCACGGCAGAACCCTGACTCTTGCACACCTTTCGTATAAATTCCGTTCGTAATTTTCCACGCTCCCGGGCCATCCGTCGTCTAGTTTTTGCATTTCTTCGGGAAGAAGATCAACTCTGGCCCTCGCCGTTGAAGCTGTTGGATGAATGTGGGTTTGGACTTCACACAGAGCCACCGTGACCAAGCTTGACCGGGAGCGGGAGGACCCAGGACCGTGCCGCAGCAACTGTTGCCGGGCGGCAAAGGATAGCTTGCCGTGTGGCTGTCAAACAGTAGCGGCTAACTTGGTTCCTTTAACGTAAAGAAGAATGGTTTTGTTGCGAAGCTTGGGCTCTGTTGTTTGACTATTCCATTGCTTGAACAAGTTGAAATAGAAGGGATTGTCAAATTGGCAACAGAATTTGATAAGTTAAGCAAAGAACGGCGCGTTAGCGCTAGAATTCGTTTACTCTGTGATGGAATTGAATGGAAAATAGAGTGGCCTGGGTGGAGGGGGTGCTCCAATGTCATTTATCCAGGAAAGATACCTGCGTAGCATTGCCTAACACACCATAAACCATATAAAACTGTGATTGAGCCATGTATGTCAAACAAAATGTATGAAACTTTGTAATCGGTTTTTTGGGTGGACCGATACTAGGTCCAGTTAGTGCTAAGCAAGTGCATGTCTTTTAGATATTTGGAGAACACATTCAGGTAGGGCAGCTACCCTTTCGTTACCCTCCAAAGTCTCGCAGCCAACCGTTTGGCAAGTAACCCTCAGGTTCCAATGTGCCCAGGCCATAGCCAGCCACTGACATCACCACGTCGAAAGCATCTGGCGCAAAGCCGCCCAGCTGAAACGCTCCGAAGCCTCCCATGGAATACCTGTGAGTTCTGTATGGCCAAATCGAACAATTCCTTGACGCATTGTTGAACTTACTAGCGATGGCCTCCAACCTACTAGCGATGGCCTCCAACCTAGAAGCCATGGCCTGCAACCTAGAAGCGATGGCCTGCAACCTCCAACCTAGAAGCGATGGCTGCAAGCATGGAAGCAATGCTTCCAAGAAGCGATGGCCTGCAACCTACTAGCGATGGCCTCCAACCTACTAGCGATGGCCTCCAACCTACTAGCGATGGCCTCCAACCTAGAAGCCATGGCCTGCACTCCAACCTAGAAGTGATGGCCGCAAACATGGAAGCAATGGCTTCCAACACAGAAGCGATGGCCTCCAACCTACTAGCGATGGCCTCCAACCTACTAGCCATGGCCTCCACCTAGAAGCCATGGCCTGCAACCTAGAAGCGATGGCGGCCTCCAACCTACTTGCCATGGCCTCCAGTCTAGAAGCGATGATGGCCTCCAACAAACCCAGAAGCGATGGCCTCCAACCTACTGGCGGTGGCCTACAGCCTAATAGATCCAATAGCGATGACCTCCGACCTAGAAGCGATGGCCTCCAGCTTAGAAGCGATGAACTCCAACCTGCTAGCCATGGCCTGAAACCTACCTCCAACCTAGAAGCGATGGCCGCAAACATGGAAGCAATGGCTTCCAACCCAGAAGCGATGGCCTCCAACCTACTAGCGATGGCCTCCAACGTAGAAGCGATAGCCTCCCACCTGGAAGCAATGGCCTCCAACCTTTCGATGGCCTGCAACCTAGCAGCGATAGCCTGCAACCTCCAACCTAGGCCTCCAACCTACTTGCCATGGCCTCCAGCCTAGAAGCGATGATGGCCTCCAACTCAACCTAGAAGCGATGGTGTCCAACCTAGAAGCGATGACCTCCAACCTACTTGCCATGGCCTCCAGCCTAGAAGCGATGATCTCCAACTCAACCTAGAAGCGATGGCTTCCAACCCAGAAGCGATGGCCTCCAACCTACTAGCGATGGCCTCCAACCTACGGGCAATGGCCTCCCTACTATAGCGATGGCCTCCAACGTAGATATAGAAGAACCCAAACATCTGCAGTTTCAAAGCGCGACAAAGTGAGAAGACGCAACATCCGCATCAACTTCACAACACCTGTGCAGTGAACACCACTTTGCCGCTGTCACCTTTAGCCTTTGGGGTGTTTGAGTCTGGAGTGAATATTTGGGAGGGTGCGCAGACAAAAAAAATGGACGGCCATTTCACTCACGGCCTTAAAAAACAGCGATCACTGTGATTACAATTCTCCAGTTTAACATGGGTGGGTTCTTCATCTGACAAGACCAAAACACAATGACAGTTCGGCAACCAAAATGAGCGAAGCGAGAGTGTGAAAGCGATGCCGAGGTGCCCCATGACCAGAACCCGCTCAGCATCAAATTCATATGCTAAGTCACTGATCTTCGAGGTCAGGGCCATCAAATAGCCCTGCAAAGATCAATGACTTATTGAACAAAGCAGTCGCCATTAATATGTGGATCCTTGATTTGCACAGTGCATTTAGATCACTTGGCAAACAAGCTACCCTCTTATGCGTGGCAAATGCTCGCCTATCAAAATTGATACCACATTTCCAACCAATGCCACAGTGACATAAAGCACCAGTTTAACTTGAGGCCGAGGGTAGGTGACGAAAGCTAGCAGGGGTGCATCCGGACTGGTGGGACATCAAGCGGAGTGAGGCAAATGCTCATGAGGTAAAAGCTCATGAGGTAAAACGTTGTGAACATGTAAGACACACAAACAGCAATGACACAGCCAACCTTAGAATTGAAGGCCCCGATAATTAAGGAAGCGTGGCTGGACTTTGCCACACTGTTCGATGCATCCGATGTGTTCACGAACCTGTGAGCTTGTTGAATCTGTTGCACCGTATCCCAAAACCTCCACGGAGGAGTTGAACCAGTGTGGATGCCATAAGAGGTGCCCAAAAGGTGTCCCAGAGGCAAAACAAAGCTGCTTGCATGATTTGTTTGGTTTCTTCTATCGATGTCGATGTCATGAACATGTGAGCTTGTTGAATCTGCTGTTGCATCGTCATGTATATGTAATGAGGGACTGAAGAAAAGCAACGCAGCATCATGAGCATCACGGGAAGTCACAAACCAGGCGTATCAGATACACCTGGTTTATGTATGTTTGTTTGAGCATCTTTGTCGAGTGAAGTGTCAGCCATATGCACTGAGATGCCGAAGGAAGCTCAAAGGCACGTGTATCTGATACGCCTGGTTTCTGACTTCCCGTGATGCTCATCATTGAAGCCTTGAACCCTCGCGTAAATTTCATGTTTCATGCCCCCCCTTCCAAACTCAAACAGTGGCCTACTTCACCTGCCACCTAAACATAGCACTATAGCACGTACCGGAAGCGTCCCAGGGGGGAGTTGAACCCGCGGGGGGGGGGGTGAAAGAGTGACTAGGGCGTACACGGTTGAGGTGCAGACCGCTAGTGTCTTTTTCTACGCAGAGTCTTATCCTCTTGAGCCTTATGGCAGTCAAGCATGGACACTCGAGTGGAACCTGTACAAGTAGGCCTCTACATTTCAGCAGGCGCAAAATTCATGTCCACTCCAGCCTATTGCGTATGTCGCACACTATTTTTCCACCGTAAGGCTAAAACAGTCCGGCAAGCTCTAGTAAGCTTAAAAAGGAAACTACGGTGCCCTATACTTACCAATTCCAGTGTGTGGCGCACTATAGAAAAGGTAATCTCAAGGTATACTAGATACAGTGAGGGAGCGATAGCTTACTCACCTCAAATACAAAGTCAAAGAAAATGTATCTCGGCTGGAGACTGTATCGTTCACCGGCGAAGATACCAGTACCGGCGCTCAATAGCCCTTAAATAGCCAGAGCTGTCAATCTTTCAGAAAATTCTAAATTCAAAAGGAAAGCGGCTTCTTTTGCACAGAGACCTATAAAAGCAGTAAACGACACCCGCGTAACGAAAGAACTAAAATTTCAAGACCGCGCAAAATGCAATGAATTAAAATGCCTTGCAAAATGCAAGGAGCGTAAATGATTCGGTCCGAGGAATGGTCTTCTCGAAAAGTGGTCTCGGCCGCTTCCATACACAGGACTTGTACCAAAAATGTGAGCTGCATCAAAAGGACTCTCTCACATTGATACCAAAAATCAGCCAAAAACAAAAAGGAAGGAAATACCGGCAAATGTATGTACAAAAATCTTGCACTACAAATGCAAATTCATAAAATGACTTAATCATCAACCATAAATGGTTGTCCATTAGAGGTCACTCCAAAAGAGCGGCTGTGGTAGATATCATCAGTTCTGTAAAACTGTCCATACCTACCTGCAGATAATGTCCGTTTAGTAAAACTGTATTTATCTGCACGCTAAAGTCTATAAACCTGGAATGCAGGAGTATCTTCTTTGATAAAAAGTTTCTCCTTGTTGCCAACCAGAGTTCATTAAAACTTCAGCCTGGCAACTTAAAGTCAAACCTGGAAGCAAAGTATCAACTGTAATCAGAAGTATCTTCACTTCCTAGCCATCATTTAAGATTCAGCCTCTGCTCTGAGTTTCTGCCGCTGCAGTCGATGGAGCTGCTTGATCAGAAGTTGGCGGCCTTCCTTTCCTCTTATTCTCCTTCTGTCTCTCCTTCCTCCGCAGGTTAGCCTCTCGAAGAGTCTCGCCCGAGCGATAAAGCTTCCTGTCCCCAGATGAAAGGGAAGCTGGTCTGAGTGAAATAAACATTGGGCCATGACTGTCATCGTCAGAGGGTCTTGAGCACATAACCTCCGTGTCAATCATAGCAAAGTTTTCTGAAAAATTACAGACGAACTCCTTCGTGCTCACTGTGGAATTTGTATATTCCTCTTCACTCATTGAATGACCCCATTCAACAATGGTAGACAAACACGTATCGCCAAGCCTTGATCCCTGGTATATTTCTTTTTCTTCTGTAGAGTATTCTTCCCAGAGTTTCTCAAAGTAAACTTCACACTGCTTGAGGACATGTGAAGATGAACTGTAAAATGTTCTGGCAATAGGTGCTTTGATACCAGGATCTGCTACTACACGGGCTTCTGAAAACCTGCGGATCCAATGCTGCATGGTGCTGTAATAATAGTTAGCCATTGGCTGCCTTTTGTACACAGACATTCTGTAGGCCAAACTATTTGCATCACCAGAAATGATGTCCACCTCATATACAAAACACTCATAAAGCATGAATGCTGTCTGTTCTCCTGTCAATAGGTGGGCATCCACAGCGCGGTGTGTGTCAACATGATAATTACAGACTCTGATGGTATGCATGTTCGCTCGAGTAAGTGGAACACGCTGGTCCTTAAGACCATAGTCCTCAAATTCAAAGTCTGCATCCTTGAAATCTTGACGAGGCCTTGTTTCTCCAAAACAAATCTCATAGATAGCCCAAGTTACATCACGCTGTTGACAGTGACCAAGGTCTTGGTCATGTCCAGCAATGACCTTGACATATCCACCTGGTGCCAATCTAGCCATCACTGCAAGATTCTCCCAATCATTGAAACAAACTGTCCAATTCTTTTGCTCAAGAAAATCCTTGGCAGGAACAAGGAGATGAGCTTCCTGGAGAATCACGACATGTGCACGTAAAAAGAAGAGCATATTGAAGGAAAGGTTGTTTTCAAATTGCTCATATTGAAGTGACATGTCACTCTGTTTGCGTGGCTTCATTGCACGATCAAGTCCTTGGAGAAACTTTGGTGTGGTGTATTTCTGACCACGAACCATGTTGCCATAGTTCCAGGATAAAAATGTCAAGGACTCTGAGCTGGCCAATAAGTTAGTTCCATATTGTTCTTCTATTCTTCCCTTGAGGAACCTTTTGCACAGCTCTTCATAGAAGGTGACATAGTCCCAACTGGGTGCCTTGGGACCATATGCTTCCAGTTCTTCTCTAAAATGTTTCTTTGTACCCTCCAAATCTGCTCGAGCTTGTTCTGCCCTTTCAAGGGCCCTGGGATCGACCTGATACTTGTCATCCAAATAAATGATGCGGTCATCATTGATGAAAAATCTCTTCAAATCATGCTCTGAGCTGTCCTCATAACAATCAGGTGGAGGTACTGGACAGATCTTTCGAATGGATCGAACAAAGTCGTCCTCGTTGATCATTGACTGATAGTGAGGATGGGAAATCTCACCTTTTCTGAAACAAACATGGTTCAACAATCTCGCGTGAGTTTCCCTGAAGCATTGTTGATAAAAGCCAATACCTGGATCTCCTGTAAGCTCTCCAAACAACCTCAAAGGTGAAGTATGCAACTCATAGGTATTGTCAACATCCACTGTATCTGTATCAACAACTACTTCAGATGGAAAAGATTCTTGGATTTCAGCCTCCAATTCCTTCTCTCCATCATCCTCTCTGACCTCTCTTATCTTCTCCACCGCCTTTTTCTTCTCCTCAAAGGTTGCATCATCCTGAACTTCTTCATGAAAATGAGGATCAGGAATTTTATTTAGGCGGCTTTTCTTAGATTTCCGCAGACTTGAAGTATCATCAAGGTTAGCATCATTCTCACCTGATGGTAAGCGCGATGCAGCTGAGTCCACACCTATCTCTCTTGACAGAAAGCGTGATGCTGACTCATCCTTGGCTTCCTCCTGGTCCACTTCCATCTTTGTGTCCTCTGAAGGAAAAACACCTGCATTCTCATCAAAAACTTCTTCATCTTTTACGAGTTCAACTGCAGGATCTTCTTCATGGACTTCCTCTTCCATATCTTCACCTTCCATAATCTTCATTCAAAAGCTTGTTCTGCGACATCCTTGGTGAGCAAGTCCTCTACAAGATTTTCTCCCATGGTTCTTGGAAGAGATTCTGAGGTCTCAAAATAATCTGTCCTCTCTGAACTGAAAAACTCCGTTGCCTTCTCATTGTCCTTTTTATCCTTAAAAAGATGAGTAATCTTCACTGCTTCTCCTCGTAACACCTGATCACCTTCTCTATACTTGTTGACAATGGAGCACCATACTGGCACATTGTCATCATCAAAGTCAAGCTCCATATTATCTGCCATCAAGTTTGAGATGTTTTGAGCTGCCTGTTCTTCTTCTTCCTCACGTTCTCTGGCAAGCTCCTCATCCTTCTGAGATACCCTTCAGGATGTTTTGTAGTACCTTTAAGTTCAGCTTCGATGATGGCTCAAACGTCCCTGAACTTACAGGCTCAACTACAACACGAGAGCAAGAAATCGCCTCCAAAAACTTGGAATTGTATTGGCGTTCAAACTCTTCCTTCTTGATCATCTCATACAAGGGATCAGAAACTGCAACACGCGCCTGAACATATTCACGAAGTTGATAGCATGCATGTTGCACAAATCTGCTGTTGGAGTTGTGAAGAAAACTCTCTAAATGGTTCCTGTCACGGTCAATCAAATACCACACAACTCTTGCAGAAAAACGGAATTTCTT